CACACACTCACACACATACACATAGTTAAAATAATAAAAATAATTCTTAAAAATAGTTCTAAACTATGTTCAAATTACAAGATTTTACTTTCAGAATATATATATATATGTATATATATATGGAATATGGAAAACAGAATGAAGAACAGACTTCATTTCTATATTAAAAAAGCTTTAAAATTCAAATAGTGATTTTTCTAACCCTAAATCTTAATAGTTTATGAAGCTTGTAATCTGTTGAAGGATGCCTATTCAGACTCTTAAAATAAATGTGACCATAGGGTTCAGTGCAGTAATGGAAAAGGCATGCCGCCGGTGGCTCTGACTTCCCTAGGAAGCAGCCACGGTTGCCCCAGCAGTGATGTCAATATTTAGGCTGGACTTGAGGGATGAGCGTGGGGCTGATTGAGAGATGATTCTTCTCTCTGGGTAGCTAGTGTTTCTACACAGCTCATGAGCAGGGTCACCAGATGCCTTTATTCTGAGCTACACTTCCCATCACGTTTCTGCCCTCAACATCCATGGTAGATGGAAATAGTGACTTCCTGTGGTGCTAGGTGGACATATCCCTGCCCATAATGCAGCCAGCTTCTCTAAGCCTTGCTTCTTCTACTGTAATGACTGCCACAGGTGTCATCCTGCCCATGGAAGGTGGGAAATTGACATCAACGCTAACTCTGGTCGTTACTGTTGGTCCTTTACCTTCCGTGCAGGAATCTGGTTTCTTCTCTCAGCGGCTTAACCCTGAAGGCCAGCTTGCCAGCTTCAAGCAAGGAAAACAACCTGATCTCTTACAGTCAGTGATGTTTGAAAGAGGGGAAGGGAACAGCATGTGCTGTGTCACCAGGCCATGAGAAACCACATCTTGTGTGGGGACTGTGACTGGTTCTCTATCTTAAAAGCAACCAAGTGTTGTGGAAGAGGACATTAAGGGGACTATAGGGCTGAGGATTCCAAGAGAAGGTTCAGTGTAGAGCTCATGGCATGAGATGATTGATAGATAGCAGCAGAGGACTCTAGGGGACAGGAAGGTCAGGTGCATTTATATGGTAGAGTCAGGACTGATGGGATGAGGGAGGAGTCCCAGTGACTTGGCCAGTGCTGTCCTATGCATCCAGGAGGCTGCCAGAAGGCCCACGTGGTAATAAAAGTGTGATCTTTGGGAAGTCACTACTGAGAGAACGGATCCTGTAAGAGGTAGGCCTTGTGGGAAGTCTTCAAGTTGTTTAAGACTGTGCCTTTGAGGGAGATGGTGGGACCCCAGGTCCTTCCTCATGCCCTCTTTTGTTTGTATGAATTAAATGCCATGCCTTTCTGCCACAGTGTCCTTTCTCACCTAAAAAAAGTGACAGCACAACCCATCGCAGTCTGGAGGAGTGCAGTCATAAGCCAAAGCTTTTCTCTTTCCAAGTCGATTGTCTCAGGTGTTTGCTCTAGGAATGGAGAGCAGTGAATGACATAAAATGAACAGAGGCGCTGTTTGCTGGGATGCAGGAGAAGTTCTGGGAAGGAGGGAGATGAGACTGAGTTAGTTGTGAGACAATTAGATTCCTGGCTGAGGAGCTTATCAGCGGAGAGGATGTAGAAATATGAATGGCTCATCTGGAACTCAGAAAGGAGATTGTCTGGGAGAAAAATACTTGGGAATTAATAGAGTGGATGCGATCAGCTCATTTTGTGGGGTATGAAGAGGGTGGGCTTCAGGGCCAGATGCAAACTCTTCCATGTCACCTTGTAATGAGCTATTCAAGGACTGTGGTCTCCTGATTCTTAAGAGTCACCTTTAGACAATACATCTAGAGTGTGTCATGTTCACAGTAATATGAGTAGTTGACTGTGTTTCTTGGCCCCCACAGATACTATTGTCCACAGAAAAAGCAGTTGGGAAAAGGGAAGGGAATGGGACCAAACAGAAGTTGTGGGGCCTTCAAATAACCTGAGAACAGGCACCCTGCAGGTAAGACAGGAGCCAGAAGAGTCTCAAGAAGGGATGTGGACAAAGTCTGGGGAGATGGGACAGGTAAGCCACGAAAGTGTGAGGACCAGAGTTACGGTCACCAGAGCTCTCAGACATGCTGGCTGGGTGTGGCAGTCTACCTGTAATTACAGCCTGGGAAGGCAGAGACAGGGGATCCTCAGAGTAAGCCGGCTATGGAAACTATACCAGGAAGCTCTGGACTTGATTGAGAGACCCTGCCTAAAGGAATATGTAGCACAATTCCAGTTTGTCTTAACAATAAAAGCCCAGAGTCAGATATTACGGGGTAAAAGCTGAAAGATCAGAGAAGCCGAACAGCCAGCCGCTAGAGCTCTTAGCCCTATGAAATCCTCAGACTGAGAGGAGACCGAGCTCCTGTTTCCTCCCACCTTATACTGTCTCCTCCCACCTTATATTCCTCTCTCTGCCCAGGCATCTCACTTCCTGTCTGTCTGTATAGACCTCCAGACCTCTATGGTTAACAAGCGGCTAGCTCCGCCCTCTGATCTTCAGGCAAGCTTTATTTGTTAGAGCACGAACAAAACATCACCACATGAATAAGCTGGAACAGTGCTGGGGGGATGATTCCCAACCTCACCCTTTGTCCTCCATGTACAGTTCCACCCAGTTATGTCCACTGACACACATGCCAACATACAATAATGTGAAAACAAAAGGAAAAAGGGAGGTGTGGCCTGCCTGGAAAATCCATCAGAGGGAGCGAGGCAATGGAAGGGCCATTTTGCTGTCTTTGGATTTCACAACCTGCAAGACCTGGGTGGCTTTAATTCGTGCAGTTTCAGTGGCTCTACAGTGTGGATGAGGACCAAGCAGAAAAGGATGGGCATCAGGGCGAGAAGACACCAAGAGGAAGATATTAGGGAAGAATTTGTGTGAGAAGAATGAAAAGGAAGATGGAGGCTGAGGGAGGTTCAAGGTTCAGGAAAGATGGTACCCTTCCTTCTCTTCCTTCTTCATCATCGGCCTCCTTTTAAGACTAGGATGATGCTCATTCTTTAAGGCACCCTTGAAGCCCGACTCTGTGTCAGAGCGAAAAAGAGAAGTACAGTCCTGTCCTTCATGGGGCTGCTTTTTGTGTCCGTGCTCCAGGGGGAGGCATGGCGACTGAAGGCTGAATGGGGCTGGGGTGAGTAGAGCTTAAGATGCTATTGGCAACTGAGCTTTGCACAAAAGCGTTTTGCCATCCTCTGGGATGAGCCTCAAGATACATCAAAGGTTTCAGGGGGTGGTGGCACACACCTTTCATCCCAGCCCCGGGAGGCAGAGGCAGGTGGATCTCAATGAGTTCGAGGCCAACCCTGTCTACAGAACTAGCTCCAGGATAGGCAAGGCTACACAGAGAAATGATTTCTCAAAAAACCAGCCCCCGCTTCCCCCGCAAAAAAAGATACCTCAAAGGTAGTTACTGATGATAAAGAATTTAGTCAAGAGAATTTGGGTTTGGAAAAGATAATGTTGGCATCTGTTGGCAGAGTGACCCAAGGCTAGTGTTTTGAACATGATACGCAGCAAAATTATGTTAAAAGAGTATGAAACTAGGCTGGGCATTGGTGGCGCACGCCTTTAATCCCAGCACATGGGAGGCAGAGGCAGGCGGATCTCTGTGAGTTCGAGGCCAGCCTGGTCTACAAGAGCTAGTTCCAGGACAGCCTCCAAAGCCACAGAGAAACCCTGTCTCGAAAAAAAACAAAACAAAACAAAAAAACAAAAAAAAAAAAGAGTATGAAACTGTGAGTCTGTACCTCTGGACAGACTCAGGAGGGCCCTTTGAATTTTAAGTAGGGGGAGCTGTCCTTTGCAAAGCCCATGCCCATATCCTGAGGAATGTCTTGATGGGAAGCCACCTCCTTTTTTTCTTCTAATGCCAGTGCTTAAATTTATATTAAAATATATTAATAAACTCCAACTCTTGGGGCTGAAGAGATGGCTCAGCGGTTAATAGCACTGACTGTTTTATAGAGGACCTGGTTTGGTTGCAAACACCCACACGGAGGCTTAAAACCATCTGTAACTCCAGTTTCAGGGGATCTAATGCCCTCTTCAGGCCTCCTTGGGCACCTGGCATTCAACATGCTACACATACATACATGCAGGCAAAACATTCATACCAAAACCAAAAGTACAAACAAAAACCTATTGCCCTGCTTCAAAAAATTAAATTAAATAATAATTGACTATGCCCTGGGGCTATAGCTTAGTGGTAGAACAATAGCCTAGAATGAGTGAGATCCTGGGTTTTTGTTTAAAAAATGAATTTGCTGGTATCATAAGTGAGTAGGTCAACTATTTAAAATGGGTCTGGTTCAATTAACTATGATGAGTAATGGGTTGATTTTTTTTCCTTCACAAAATTCTTTTGAGGGTAAGGGGTTACTTCTATTGAATTTTGTTGTCTTAGAGAAACTCCCTGAAATAATTTTTAAATAGTCCAACAGAGTGTGTAGCTGTCAGAGCTGTCTCATTTTCTCCTGTGCTCTCGTGTGTGTGTATGTGTACATGCATGAGCACGAGCACGAGTGTGCATGTGTTCCCACTCTTATGTGTGAGTGTTTTACCTGCATGTATGTTTTGTTTGTTTGCACCATGTATATGCTTAGCTATCAGATCCTCTGGAACTGGAGTTACAGGTGGCTGTGAACCAACATGTGGGTACTGGGAAAGGAGCCCAGGTCCTCTGCCAGAGCAACAGGTCTTCTTACACTCTGAGCCATCTCTCCAGCCCCTCCTCTGCCCTGCATTTTTTTTTCCCCTCACTCTGTGAGGCTCATATTCTCCAACAGATTCCCAGTAGGGTCTTTGTGTTCCACAATGAATGTGACAGTTACACCATTTCTAGGTTTTATGTGTAATAAAATTTCAGGAAATCTCATTCTAGGTAGAGTTTATTTGAACAAATATCCATTTCTTCTTACATTTGAGTGTCAGACTGTTAAATTCTGGGGTAATAACTCTGCAAGTGGCTATTGCTGTGACTTGATTAAATTCTGTTTCTCTCCCCCAGGATTCTGCCTTCAGAAGCATGTGAAATAGATTACTCCATTTAAACCAGGGAAAGAGTAGCACGATTTCCTGGCTCTCCAGACCTCTCCCAGGATGGACGTGATCACATTCACAGCGAGGAAGCATCCGTTCCCTCATGAGCTCTCGGTGGACTTCGGCTTACAGCTGGTGGGCGCCTTACCTGTGCATTCTCTCACTACTATGCCCATGCTGCCATGGGTGGTGGCCGAAGTACGAAGACTCAGTGACCAGGGCTCCAAAAAGGTGCCTGGGATCAAGCAAGTCCGGCTTTGGGTTTCACCCTCGGGACTGAGATGTGAACCTGACCTGAGAAAAAGTCAACAGTGGGACCCGCTGATCTGCTCCAGCATCTTTGAGTGCAAGCCTCAGCGTGTTCACAAACTCATTCACAACAGTCACGACCCCAGCTACTTTGCTTGTCTCATTAAGGAGGAGGCTGCCAACAGGCAGAGCCTCTGCTATGTGTTTAAAGCAGACGATCAAACTAAAGTAAGTTGAGGTGGGGATCAAAAGATAAGGCATGGGTGACTGCAGAGTTTGTATGATGCCGGGGTCGGGATGCTTATTTTGAGTGTGCCGGGAGTAACGAGAAAACACTGCTCTTATACATAGTTTAACAGAATTTGGGATTTACAGGGAGTTCATAGTGTTTGTTGAAGGATATTTAGTACATTGTTGTTGTTTGTGAGACCTGATTTTATGTAGACCAGGCTGACAGCAAACTCTTGAGGATGATCTTTCTGTTTTGTTTTGTTTTTCAAGACCGGGTTTCTCTATGTAGCTTTGGAGCCTGTCCTGGAACTCACTTTGTAGCCCAGGCTGACCCAGAACTCACAGAGATCTGCCAGCCTCTGCCTCCCTAGTGCTGGGACTAAAGGCGTGCTCCACCAACGCCTGGTGAAGGATATTTATAATATCTATTTAAAATGTAAACTTCCGGGTTCAAAAATTCAACAGAAAAGCCTGCCTAGAATTATAAACAAGAGCTGAATTGTCGGGACTCATGTTGTTTATGGCTTTGGCTTTGAAGTTCCAGTTCCTCTTGAGTTGCAGTGTGCACATGAGCCATGGGTGATGGGTTAAAGTAGAAATCACGGCTCAGTGCTTGGTGGTCCCCAAGACTGCATTCCCATAAGTGACTAGTGGAGGCCAGGCTTTTCTATTGCAAACTGCATTTTGGGTAGCAAAGTTCTAGGTCACATTCTTTAATCCCATTAAGAAAAATACAGTTATTTATCAACCGCATGAAATCCTTTTCAGCCAGTTTCCCAAGGCAGAGATCATATTTACACATACAAAGGTCATTGGTTGATGAGAACAGAGCTATGAGTCTAAGTTTTGATGCTATCAGAGTTCTTTTGTGTCTTTGTCCTTTTGCCAACTTCTGCCCAGATCGGATCACGCTGGTGTTATGATGTGTCTGGGAGGAATGTAGAGGTGCAGCCGAGGCTCTGCTGTTTCCCCGTCTGTTTCTGTTTGACTGCTACCAGCATTCTTCGTAGGTCTTTTTGGGACTTACTTCAAGCTGCCTGTCTGTTTCATGAATAACAGTGCACATAAAATGAAAATGTAATCCATGTAGCCACCTTCTCAGTTGGACCCTCGGGAGGAAATGTAGTTTAGCATAGCACACAAGAAGCAGCCATGGGCTCCACACAGCTAACCCCACCAGTGGCCTGATGGTCTGCTGTCTCAGGTGTTAGACACAAGCATGCTTCTGGGACAGGAGCTGTCGGCCACTTATACTGAGCAAGGACGCCAAAGTTCTTGAAAATGACAGAAAAATCTGTGGTTCTCATACTTTCCTTTCTCTTCTTTCTTTTGCTATTTTATTTATTCATTTAGTTTTGAGACAGGGTTTCTCTGTGTATTCCTGGCTGTCCTGGAACTTATTCTGTAGACCAGGCTGGCCTTGAACATGGAGATCTGCCTGCCTTTGCCTCCTGAGTGCTGGGATTAAAGGCATGTATCATCACTGCCTAGCTCCTTTTTTTAACAGCGGGTTTCACGGGGCTCAGGCCGATCTCAAATGCAAACCCTCTATATAGTTGAGGTTGATCTTGAATTGCTAATCTGCCTGCCTGCTGGGGTAAGAGGAGTGTTCCCCCATGACCTCCATGTTTAAAATGTGAGTAGAAATGCCAACGTTCTCTGTTGCTTCCTCCTAGGTTCTTTTGCACGCTCTCCAGGATGTCAGAATATCATTGGGAAATTAATGTTCTATTGCTTGGCCCTCCATAGCCACGGGTTCCATGTCAGTGGATTCAGCTGGCAGCCGATAGAAAATATTTGCAAAAACACATCAAGCTTATGCTGAACGTGTGCAAACACGCTTTCTCTTGTCCTTGGTGTCACAGAGCACTGACATTATGTCTGGCATTACGGGCCATCTAGAGATTATTTGAAGGATAAAGGGGGTTGTGCAGAGGTTATTTACAAACTGTTTGTACAAGAGACTAGAGCACCTGCGGGTTCTGGCGTCTGTGGGATCCTGGAACAACGCTCCTGAAGATGTCAAGGGACAGCAGTGGATTTGGGAACACTCACTTTTGTCTGTTCCTTTAACTCACCGACTCAGTGGTTGCCACCCTGGCTGGTGTCTCAGAAGTCATTAGCAGAAGCAAGGAGGAAGGTATCTGTGCCAGGAGGGTCAGGAAGTCGAAGTCTAACACATGCCCTGGGTGTAGAGAAAAGCTTTTTGTTTGTTTGTTTTTTTGTTGTTGTTGTTTTGGTTAAGCTGATGTGTGAAGCTTAAAGCCACCATCCTACTCAAATGTCTCAGTGCTATGACTCATGTAGTGGTAACCACGCCTGTGTTTCGGAAACGCTCCACAGAGTCACACTTGAAAGATCAGAGAGACTAACTTCTGGATTCAAATCCTGTCTCTGTTACGTATGAACTGGTGACCTCGGGCAACTGAGCGTGCTTGCTCATCAGTAAAATTACAGTAATTATCTCATGCAGTTGCTGGGAGGGTTAAGGGAGATAGAGTGGGACCCAGAAGTGAGTCTGCTGGCTTGAGGTTCTAAGCAGTCACCCAGCGGGCACAAATCCCTGGCTTCCATCTTCAGCACTGCCAATCAAAGAAAGAAAATACCCATAGTAATACGCATTTACGGGCATGAACTTTAAGATTGTATTTTATGTATTTGTTTGGTGTGCACTGGGGAGGTGTGCATGCCGTGGGGTGTGTGTGGAGGTCAGAGGAAAGCTGTAGCCTCTCTTTTTACCTTGCGGTTCTGGGTACCACAGGTCAGCAGACTTGGCAGCAGGCACCTTTACCCACTGAACCATGTCATTGGCCTCTGTACTCAAGAAGGTTTAATGGAAGCAGATTAAGTGGTAACATTCCAAGGGTTTGGGGAAAAGAGAGTAGGAATGTGGAGGTCTTCAGCTCCCAGGTGACGCTCTTGTCATCCTTGACCAACATTTTATTAACTCAACTCCTACAAAACTCCATGAATAAACCTAAGGGTTCCTGCTATTTGGGAAGATCTCGGATAAAGAGGACAGGGTTAAACAGCTACCTTTCCCGAAGGATTTTGCACAGAACATTGTGCAGCGTCTCACAGTTTTGACTCTTCCCCAAGGTCTTCCCCAACCATCTGTGAACAAGCTCTGGCCAGTCATTTGGACCCCTGAGAGAAGCGAGAGATTTACAGCAAAATTCTGTATCGGAGGCTTTCAGTCTTGCTCCGAGCAGAGAATTAGTCTTACTCTCTATTCTAAAAAAGCCATCTTTGAAATATAATCCTTAAGATCTTTTTGGCTTGTGCAGTTTTTACCAACATGAATTGCTGTTAGAGTACAAATTGCTGCCATCCTGCTCATTTTATTTGAAAGGGTTGTTTGCAACATAGCTACTTAAGTCAGGCATTTGGTTCTTGTCAGAAATAGAATAGTAAATGACAGTGGTCCTGATTTTAACTGACATATCTATTATGCTCCTGAGACACCTTGGCAAGCAAGATGTCTCCAAACAGGATTATCTGTTGTAGGAGTGTGCAAACCGGCACCACATTTCTCTCGACTGTTCTGTAGCGTTTGCTCAAGTGACCGAATTCTCTAGATTAAGGCTTCCTCTGAGCCGATGAGATCAGCCCTGGTTGTGCTTGCCAAACCAAACATATCTTCGCTGCCATAGGCATAGGGCTCCTGTTTGGGAGGAGGTCCTTTCATCAGTATCTGAGTTAATTTGCCACAGAATATCTAAGGAGTCTAGGCAGGGAGGGCTAATTTTCCACTGTGATATGGCCCTTCCGTTGGCTGTTCCACAGAACATTCTTGAGTTACTCCACAGAGAAAAGTTTCCATCACCAAATGCATTAGGATAGCATCTGAAATGTTTTTGCCTGAGGGTCAATGTTCTCCTTTAAAAAGTTACCAAGTGTGCCGTGTGTGGTGGCGTTCACCTTTAATCCAGCACTTGGGAGGCAGAGGCAGGTGGATCTCTGTAAGTTCAAGGCCAGCCTGGTCTACAGAGTGAGCTCCAGGCCAGCCAGGGCTATCTAGGGAGATCCTATATCAACAAAACAAAATGAATGTTATCAAGTTTCCTATCAACACTTACTCTATTAGAAATTACAACTGAGATATTGTGAAGATACTGATTTTAAAATTTATTTTAAATATAAAAGCAACGAACTCCTTACATGGTAATATAAGGAACATTTTCATGGATTGTAACTATATTTTCTATAAAGTGTTTAGCAGTAATAGTGGCCCAGTTTGATTTTCTCAGATCTTTTTGATATCTGGTGTGGTAGAAGGGGGTAGGTCTCCATCCATTCTTTGTGATATGTCATTTTCACTGAGTAGCTGAAGAAAACTTGGCTTCAGACATACAGGTAACAAAAAAACAGAGAAGCAGTGATGACTTTTTAAGAATACTGCTACCACTCAGCAAATGCTGCTTTCTTAAGGTTTGGCTGCAGTGGGCATCTGAGTCCTCACAAGGCACTCTGCGCACGTTTTTATATTAAAACTCAGTTTTTTTCCTGTGCTTTAATGAATATTTTAAGCATGATTCTGCACCATCATGCACTGATTGCTTAGAAACCATTGTCTCTTTGAGTAGCACAGTGTACACATGTATGTCTCTATGTGAATGTATGCAGGTGTGCATGGAGGCCAGAAGAGAATATTAGATTTCCTGGAGCTGGAGTTACAGATAGGTGTGAACCACCCAATTGTGGTGTTGGAAACCAAATTCAGGTCCTCTGGAAGAGCTCCAAATGCTCTTCATCTCTCCAGTCTCTAGATATGTTTTTGTTACTTCTGTTCAGATGTATCTGTGTGCCTGTATGAGTGAACACCACATGTATGTGGATGCCACAGAAGCCAGGAGAGGGCATCGGGTCCCTCAGAGCTGGAGTTACAGGTGGCTGTGAGCCGTCTCTCATGAGTGCTGAGAACTGAACTCAGAGGAGCGGCAAGTGCTCTTAACCACTGAGTGGTCTCTCCAGCACCACAATGGGTGGTTGCTTTG